ACTTGAAGGTGAGGTCGGCCTTCCAGCAAGTTTTGCAGTGCCATCGGCAGTCCTGCCCCTTTCTGTAGCACTCCTGCCGGCTGGCGGCCACCGCTTTCCTAATGCTAGGGTGAACCCATGCGCCTCCGCTGTTTTTGCGGGGGTCGAAAGGGCCCTTTCCGCAGTGGTTGCAAAAGATGCACGGGGACTGCACGTCGGCGTGCAAGCGGTTGTCGCCTGCCCCAAGGAGCGGCGGGAGCAGGTCGGCGCCCGGGAGCGCGCCGGAGGGGGGGGGAGGCCAGGTGAAGATCTCTGCTTGATCCAGATAGTCCGCCTCCGAGGTAGATGGGAGCAATGGGGACATGGTCTTCTGGGAGAAGGCCGAGCGCCGTGCCGGGCAGTGCCTGTGACAGGGCGCAGGCGGCGCACTTGTGCGACCGCAGGCAGGAAAGGTCGGCTGGGGGCGCGAGGAGGCCGCATGCCTCGAGCGCGCGATTCAAAAGGAAGTCGCCCGCGGCCGCCTCCTCCCATGTCGCAGCCTGGCGCGGCGCGACCAGGCCAGGGCGGCGATGGGCAACGGGGTGACCAGCCCAGAGCATGCCCTTATGAAGGTTTCGAGGTACCCGCGGAGCCCGCGGAAATCCTCGTCTCCGAGGTTGGATGTTCTACCGAAGCTTTCGCGAAAGGGGAGGCGCGCCTCTTAGTGCATGGGGGGCAGATGCCAAGGGCCGCTTCCAAGATGTCGCCGATGTGGCCGGGGCTACCGCAGGGGGCCAGGGTTGCGCGGGGCTCTCTGATCAGCGTGAGCATCAAGAGCAGGATGGCGTTTGCCCAGGGTCGTGCGATAGGCACCCCGGAGTTGTCCCAGAGCAGCCCGCCCACTATTGCACCTTGGTGCGCGCGGGGTCCTGTAAGGGCAGTGAGATACTCGTATGTGGGCTGTCCCTGGTGGCGCTTGCACTCGCATGTTGTCTTGCTCCAGGCGCCAGGGGGGCACCTGGTGGTGCCGTCTGGGGCTGGTCCATGTGCCTTTTCCAGCGGTTCTCCGAGCGCTGTCCAGAAGGCGGGGGGGGCAGCCTGTCGTCGGCGATGCCGCACTCTGGGTCAGAGCTGGGCTGCAGCCCCGCGATGCGCAACAGATAGGCCCAAGAGGCAGTGCCAACGTAGATAAACGCGTCCAGACCATGCTCGCCGTAAAGATACCCGTCGTGGCTGACCTATTTCAGGCACTGCTCGAAAAGGTCCATGGACGCGTCTCCTGGGCCGTATTGGCGGGGGTGGAGACTGACCACGCAGTACAGGACGGTTGCTCGGGCTGGGTCTTGCAGTAGCGTGGTGCTTGTGTCCTGCTGCAGCTCCTCGCCCAGCCTTACCCAGCTGCGGCTCGGGGGTAGCCCACTGTCGCACAGGGTACGAAAGCAAAGGGCACGCTGGTCCGCAACCTTCTGGGCCTTCCGCTCGTCGCTGCGTCGGTCCTGTGCTACAGCAAGGCGCGTCAGCTCCTCCTGGGTGAACGGGTGGGTATGGGAGCTGATGGGGGCCTGTTGCACTTTGCACAGGGAGAAGTCGGGGGGCTCTCTGAGGTCGCGTCGCGCGCCTGGGGCCCACAGACTGGCGGTCTCGAGCAGCAGTTATCCTGGCGTTGAGCATGACAATGACGCCGTCTTATGCTCTAGCAAAGGCAACGTCGATGCGGTGGGGATCGTCCATAAACCCGCACTGCCCTGTAAAGTTGGCACGGGTAGTGCAAAGGATGACGTGGTTGGCCTCGCCCCCCTGACTGCCGTCGATTGTGGACACACTGACGAGACCCTGCTCAAGCAGGCGGGGGCAGGCAGAGTCGAGGCCGTGCAACGCGAGCCCCAGGCCATTGAGGTCGGTGGATGTCTTCTGTCAACGAAAAAGCGGGCCTGAGGGCCCGCCCCTGCCCTTTCTTGACCCTTTCGTGGAGTGCCGAGAGCCGGGTGGGGTGGAGGCGCGGGAGAGAGATGAGGTACCTCTGGGAGGAGCCGCTCCACTCCCTTGCCACTTGCCATGGTAGGCGTGGAGGAAAGCGAGAGCGTCGGTGGGCCATCCTGTCTTAATCAGGGCAGTTTGGGCGCGATACCCGCAGAAAATCAAGACGCGCTTGTTGATCTGGAGCAGGTGGTGCCCACTGGCCTCGACAATGTCGCAGACCGCAGCAGCTTCCCTGAGGTCGGCCGCGCCTTCCACTAGGAGGGCGGTCAATTCCGCCGCTTTCTCGTGGGCGACCAGGACGCGGATGCGGTCGCCTGGCTAGGCTCCATAGCGTGGGTTTTGGACACCGCTCGCCCCGATTAGAATGGGGTAGCCGTCGGGATCGTCGGGGGGGGATCCGGGGGGCGCTTGTGCAATTGGGTTGGCGCTCCTCCAGGGAATCCCGAGGACGAGAGGTCTCTGCGCGAGTGGCCGGGTCTGGCTGGAGAAGAGCCTTCCTCCAAAGAAGCAGGCGGATGCCCATTGCAGGATGCCAGGGTGCATGCGGTAGCACTTATCGAGCAAGACGTTGCGTTGATCGGCGGCCCCTAGGGAGTCGCGGAACCTGGCGAGCATGGAAAGTCCCAGCCCAAGAGCCGCAGCGCTGGGGGACATTACCGCGGGACACAGCTGGTTCTCGTCTCCACAAAGTACGAGCCGCCCGCCGCTATGAGCGGCGATGGCCAAAGGGATGGCCGCGACAGGCTCCGTGGACTGACCAGCTTCACCCAGGATCCCGATCTGGATCCTTGAGAAGTCGGGGTTCGCAAGCTCGGCAGCGAGCTCATGGGTGGCCAGCACCAGACGGGCGTTGAGGAGAGCTTGCCTTTTCTCGCGGGTGGTGATTCCAGGCCGATGTCTCTGAGGGAGAGGTGGTTGGCTTTTGGTAACGCTCGATTGGGGTGAGGTCGCGGGCCTCGGGGTTAGTGACCTTGCCGGCGTTGGCCCGCCTGACGGCTGCTTCTGGAAAGCCGCAGCCTCGGTTCAGCCTGCCTGCCGCGCTGGCGTCGGCGAGGTACTTTGCGTGCACCATTGAGTCCAGGGATTGGTGCAGCACTGCGGTCTGGGGTTAATTGTGCTCGAGCCGATTTGCGGCCTCGTCCGCAAGGTGAGGGGATGGAGAGGGCAGCGACCGCTGAAAGACGCTCCCAGCCCATTCTTCCATTTCGCGGTCGCTCAGAGGAACTCCGTTCTTGGGGGTGAGGTAACCGTCGGGGTCGGTGATCTGGAGGTTGAGGGTGGCTCGCGCGCAGAACCGAGGCGGAGAAAGTTCAGTGCAACGGCCAGGGCCCCGCGCGCGCTGGGTTCAGAAGGAAGCAGCGCTATACGCCATCCTGGCGTGAAACACACACACACTGACACACACACACACACACACACACACACACACTGACACACACACAGACACACACACACACACACACACACACTGACACACACACACACACACATTCACACACACACACACACACACACACACATTCACACACACACACACATTCACACACACACACACATTCACACACACACGCATACACACGCACACGCACACGCACACGCACACGCACACGCACACGCGAACACACAGACACAAACTCACACACGTTCGGGCGACGCGCCCACGCGCGTGGCGGCGCGGCGGGGAGCAAGTCAAGCGAGAGAGCTAGGACCAGGCCAGCTCATGCAGCGTGGAGAAGCTGGAGCCGCCCATAGGAGATCGACAGCAACACTCGCGAGGGGGCAGTCGCGAGGGGAGTGGGGCAGGAGAAAGAAGGTGGAAAGAGGGGGAAGAAGGACGGACAAGAAGGAAGCAGTGCGACAGTGATGTGGCGAAGTAGGAAAGCGACATCGGCAGCCGACCAGGAAGAGGAAACAAGGCAGAGTGCGGAATCCTTGGATAGCCAGGGGGCCACATGGGGGACACAGCAAGGACGGTGAGGAGCAACCAGGAGCGGCGCGGGAGAAGGGGGTAAGGCGGCAAAGATGCCCGCGATGAAGCGGGTCACAAATTTTCACGCACACGCGCACACAAACAACAACAAACACACAATCACAACCAAAGTTGTAGGGACTGCACGCATGTGTTTATCACATACTTCTGTCGTAATCGCACGTGTTTGCTCACACGCTTCCAATCACAGGCCCACCCTTTGAGGGTCATTGGGGTTTCACCCCCTCGTTTCGGCCAGTTGCTGAAACAGCACCGCGGCCCATGCCCGCCGTCGGCATTTCAGCCGCGGCGCTGAGTTCGAGGCGCGGTTCGGCAACAGAAGCCTGGGTCAAACCGGTGAAGAACAACATAAACCAAATGTGCCATCATCGTCGTCATCGCCACCCTTCGCTCGCAACAGCTCGGGGAACCGATCTCGTCACAACCTTTTTCTTCCCCCTGATCCTTTTTCCCTACCTAGGCTCTGCCTAGAAGGGTTCTTACTCGGTGTGCTTAAAGGGCCGGGCAGTGGGGCTCGCCCTGGGCGGTTCCCCCAGGATCCGCCCCGCGGTTCCCCCAGTCCCCTGGGAGCTTTAGCTTTAGCTTTAGCTTTAGCTTTAGCTTTAGCTTAGCTTTAGCTTAGCTTTAGCTTAGATTTACCTTAGCTTTACCTTAGCTTTAGTTCAGATTTAGCTTAGCTTCAGCTTAGTTTCAGCTTAGTTTCAGCTTAGCTTGAGCTTAGTTTGAGCTTAGATTTAGCTTAGATTTAGCTTAGATTTAGCTTAGCTTTAGCTTAGCTTCAGCTTAGCTTCAGTTTAGTTTTAGCTTAGCTTTAGCTTAGCTTTAGCTTAGCGTTAGCTTAGCCTTAGCTTAGCTTTAGCTTCGATTCAGCTTCGCGTTAGCTTAGCTTTAGCTTAGCTTTACTTTAGCTTTAGCTTAGCTTCAGCTTAGCTTTACTGTTACTACTAATGCTGCTTTCCTAGGGGCTCCAACTCCTAAGTAGGGTCGCACTGGGATAATTATTGTCCTATATTATTATCTTCCTCCACCCCCTTCGCATCTTCCATCCGGCAGTCAAAAGGAGGCCCCACAGGAGCATCGTGCCCACGCTGTGCGAAGAGGGCGACGACGGCAACTACGGTTCCACCTCCGTGCAGGACGTGCACTGCGTGCAGACCATGGCGCGCCCCAGCAGAAGGGGGGGACAACGAGAAGGGCAGGCGGAGGAGGACGGCCCTTTCTACATTGTTCTGACGCGACTGCAGAGCAGACGCGTCGCGGCAGGCACCCATAAACCGGACCTTGGCACTTGTTGGTTGTTGGCCGTAGTGCAGTAACTAAAAATAAGACCAAGAGTAAAGCATTGGTGAGTAAAGCATTGGGGTCGTTTTCGGCATTCACGAGTGATTTTGCGACATCTGGCGCAGGGATTCAGTTCAGAAACTCGTTCGCGGTGGCAGAGGAGAAAGAAGAAAAGGAGGCGGCGGAAGAGGAGGCAGAGGAGGCGACTTTGTACACCCATTGCTGTAGCAAGAAGAGGTCGATGACAGGGGAGCGACAGAGGAGGAAGACTCAATGATGCCGATGCGTCGGCGCAGGAGGAGTAGGATGAGGGCGGATGGGAGGAAGCTAAGTCACAGGAGGAGGAGGAGGAAGGAGACGGCAAGGGTGAGGATAGCAGAGGCTAGTGGAGGCGAGAGCACGATAGAGGCTGCCAAGACCGTCGAGCAGCGAGGTGTGGGAGGGGACGGGAGTCGAGCAGAGCGGAGTGGAGTGGAGTGGGGCCGAGTCGAGTGGAGGGGAGCGGAATAGGGTGGAGGCGAGCGGAGCGCGATCAAGTGGAGGGGAGCAGGAACCCATAAATAGGCGAGTGGGCGCCTAGTACCAGGGAGGTGTTCCCAAATTGTGCTTCTCTTTGGACTTCAGGGTGCCTTCTCCCATGGTCGGCCTTTCGGAGTCGGCATGCTGAGCGCGTGCATCAGCAGCTAGTGGCCACGAGCTGCCGCAGAAGCCTTGACGCCGGTGCGGGAAGAGGGGGCTGCCGTGGCCGGCGGGACGCCGAGGCCACCCGCATCTATTTCGGCCTCTTCGTGGCGGAGTCCAAGTTCCGCTCTGAGACCGAGAAGGCGACCAGGTTGATAAAGGCCGGCCGCCAGCCGCCCCGCCGCGCAGCGCCTGTCCGCCACTGGCGCTGCCACGCCGCGCGCACGCGCAAGGCGGGAGGAGGGAGGAGGCGTGAGATGGGGGGAGGAGGAGACAGGGAGGAGGACGAGGAGGAGGAGGAGGAGGAGGAGGCGGGAGGAGGACGCTGGGAGGAGGGAAAAGAATACGGCGGGCTCGCGTCGTGTCGACGGGCGGCGACCCCGCCGCTGGCGTTCCACGTTGAACGCCGCCAGTGACCAGAACCGGTCGATGCTGAATGGTCTGACGTGTCGGAAACGGCCGATCGTTCGAGGTTGAACGATCCCTGCGTTGTCAGGAACCAACGTCGAAGTCGACACGACCGACACGAAGCTGCCGTACGGGAGAATGCAGCAGAATGCCAGTCAGCAGCGTGGCCACAGCAAGTCATGTTCGCCGCCGCCCCCCGCTCTGGAGGGCGGCTCTGGATGACGCACGCACTGTCGCTGAGGCTTACAGTTCAAAAGAATGTGTGCGAACACTGGCCTGCCCACCCCCTTTCCCGAGCCGCTCCCAGACGGCGGGAGTGGCCAGCCTCGGCCAGGTTTCGGGGGGCGGCACCGGCGGAGAAATCTCAGGTGTGGTTTTGCCGAGGTGGTGGAGATCCCAGTGCACTCGTCAGCGAGCTGTACCACCTCCGTTGGCCACGCTAGCAAAACTGGCACATTTCCAGCACCACGCAAGTCCTTTCAGCATAGCAACGGTATGGGTGGGGTGCACGCTTCGAGTGTGGGTTTTGGCTTTAGACACGGCAGAGGTGGAGACTAGAGCAACGGCACCGTTCTCGCTTTGATACCTCTGGATCAGGTCGCCTAGGAGAATCACGAGGCGGATGAGAACGATGCGAAAGAGGATGGACGAGGCATGAGGAGGGAGAGGAGGAGGAGGAGGAGGAGGAGGAGGAGGAGGAGGAGGAGGAGGAGGAGAGGAGGAGGAGGAGGGGGAGGGATGAGCAGGAGGTGAAAGAGGAGGTGGAGGAGGAGGAGGAGAAGGAGAAGGAGGAGGCGGGAGGGAGGAGGCGAGATGAGGAGGAGGAGGAGGCAGGAGGAGATTGGAGCGGGAGGAGGAGGAGCAGGAGGAGGAGGAGGAGGAGGAGGAGGAGAAGGAGGAGGAGGAGGAGGAGGAGGGGGAGGAGGAGGAGGAGGAGGAGGAGGAGGAGGAGAAAGGAGGAGACCAGAGGAGAGAGGAGATGAGAGGAGGAGAGAGGAGGACAGGGGAGGAGAGAGGAGGAGAGAGGAGGAGGACGGCAGAGCCTCCTTCCTTCTCTTCTGCTGACCCCCCCCCCCAGGCGCGTGACCGCGAGGGCCTCATGGCTTTCATCACGAAGCCTGAGGCGCCACTGAGGAAACGAAGGGAGGGGGAGTGGCACGCGGCGTAGATGTTTCTCGCCCGGGTTGGTTTTCGCCCGGTTCGTTTCGCCCGGGTTGGCTTTCGCCCGGGTTGGCTTTCGCCCGGGTTGGCTTTCGCCCAGGTTGGCTTTCGCCCGGGTTGGCTTTCGCCCAGGTTGGCTTTCGCCCGGGTTGGCGTTCGCCCAGGTCCCGGGTTGGCTTTCATCCGAGTTGGCTTTCGCCTGGGTTGGCTTTCGCCCGGGTTGGTTTTGGCCTAGGTTGGTGGTTCGCCCGGGATGGTATTCGCGTGGGGTCGTTTTCGCCCTCCTCTTCCTCCTCTCCGCTTCCCGCTCCTGTCCTTTTATATTGCTGCTGCTCGTTTTCCTCCTCTCCTCTGGCACCTCTTGCCCGCGGCCGGTTGGCTGGAGCTGCGTTCCCGCAGCAGCATTGGAAGTACAACACCCCGCCTTCTTCCCAGACGGCCTGACCTACACATCAACACCGCCCTTGCTCAGGCCCCCCTGAGGCACAAGGTCAGTCAGTGCTACGTGCCCCCTGGCAAAGCGAGACGCGTGCTCACTCGAGCGCGCCCCACACTTTAGTGTCCCGCCCGCCCGACCCAACCCGCCCGTCAGGGTCTGCCCGACCCGACCCGCCTCGCCTGTTAGGGTCCGCCCGACCCGACCCAACCCGCCCGTTAGGTTCACGCGTGCTCGCTCCAGCGCGCCCCGCACTTTAGTGCCCCGCCCGACCGACCCGACCCGACCCGCTCGTTAGGGTCCGCCCGGTCCGACCCGACCCGTCCCGCCCTTAGGGTCCGCCCGCCCGACCCGACCTGCCCGTCAGGGTTCATGTGTGCTCGCTCCGGCGCGCCCCACACTTTAGTGTCCCGCCCGCCCGACCCGACCCGCTCGTTAGGGTCCGCCCGACCCGACCCGACCTGTCCTGCCCGTTAGGGTCCGCCCGCCCGACCCAACCCGCCCGTTAGGGTTCACGTGTGCTCGCTGCGGCGCGCCCCACACTTTAGCGTCCCGCCCCCGACCCGCCCGTTAGGGTCCGCCCGACCCGACCCGACCCGTCCCGCCCGTCAGGGTCCGCCTGCCCGACCCGACCCGCCCGTTTGAGTTCACGCGTGCTCGCTCCGGCGCGCCCCACACTTTAGTGTCCAACCCGCCCGACCCGACCCGCCCGTTAGGGTCCGCCCGACCAGACCTGTCCCGCCGTCAGGGTCCACCTGCCCGACCCACCCCCCCGTTAGAGTTCACGCGTGCTCGCTCCGACGCCCACACTTTAGTGTCCCGCCCGCCCGACCCGACCCGCCACCCGACCGACCCGTTAGGGTTCACGCGTGCTCGCTCCAGCGCGCCCCACACTTTAGTGTCCCGCCCGCCCGACCGTTTTCGACCACCCGCCCGACGCCGCCCACTAGGGTTCACGCGTGCTCGCTCCGGCGCGCCCCACACTTCAGTGTCCGTAGGGTCCGCCCGGCCCGACCCGACCCGTCCGCCCGCCCGTCAGGGTCCGCTTGCCCGACCCGACCCGCCCGTTAGAGTTCACGCGTGCTCGCTCCGGCGCGCCCCACACTTTAATGACCCGCCCGCCCGACCCGACCCGCCCGTCAGGGTCCGCCCGACACGACCCGACCCGTCCCGCCCGTTAGGGTCCGCCCGCCCGACCCGACCCGCCCGTTAGGGTTCACGTGTGCTCGCTCCGGCGAGCCCCACATTTTAGTGTTCCGCCTGTCCGACCCGACCCGCCCGCAGGGTCCGCCCGACCCGACCCGACCCATCCCGCCCGTCAGAGTCCGCCTGCCCGACCCGACCCGCCCGCACTTCTTAAGTGTCCCGCCCGCCCGACCCGAACGGCCCATTAGGGTTCGCCCGACCCGACCCTACCCTACCCGTCCCGCCCCCGCCCGACCCGACCCGCCCTTTAGGGTTCACGCGTGCTCACTCAAGCGCGCCTCACACTTTAGCGCCCCGCCCGCCCGACCCGACGCGCCCGTCAGGGTCCGCCCGACCCGACCCGACCCGTCCCTCCCGTTAGGGTCCGCCCGCCCGACCCGACCCGCCCATTGGAGCCCGCCCGCACCTATCCCTGGCGAAAGCCAACTCCTGCGATGCCAACCCTGGCAAAAGCCACCCCCCAGCGAAAGCCAACCCCGGCGAAAGCCAACCCCGGCGAAAGCAAGCCTGGCGAAAGCAAGCCTGGCGAAACGAAGCCCGGCGAAACGACGCCCGGCGAAAGCCAACCCCGGCGAAAAGCATCCGTGCCGTGGGACGTTTGGCCAGAGAGTACCGGAAGGTCTGCGAGGTGACCCAGACATCCGATGTCGTGGCCACTTCTCTTGGCAAGCGTGGGCAGACACGGTCGACTAGACGTAAGAGTGACCTTTCGCAGGAGTGACCTTTGGTGCGGGCACTGATGGGTCCCTAGATGGCTGAAAACGAAACAGTAGCAGCTGCTGGCGCGCCCGGGTTTGGTCCCCCCGCGGCCCCCAAAAAGCCGCGCACCAAAGGTCACTCTTACCCAGGGCCACTCTTGCGTATAGCCGACACGGTCGCACGCGGTGCAGCACCGGCGGGCAGCGCTCGCGCGAACATTCGGGTCGTGCAGGAGCGGAGGCGCAGCAGCAGGGAGGCCGCCGCAGGAGGGGGAGGGGAAGGAGGCTCCGGGTGCGCGCCGCTCCAGGCTAAGTCGGGCCTGTCCTTCTACAGGGGGAATATTCAAAAATAGTATTCAAAAAAAAAGGCTGGGGACTATTTTTGTTAGTCTTTTCGGGCATCTTGTGAGTATGTTTGAGATGTTTTACTTTTCGTCCAAAATCCCCCTGTATGGGGGACAGGCCCGGCCTAACTCCAGGCAGGCGCGTCGTGACCAGGCGGCCACGGGCGGCAGCGTAGAAAGTTCTCGATGGGCCCGACCAACTCCTTGGGAGCAGAAGTGGGAGTCCCTAGTCGGGGAAACGCGTAAGACCCGAGGAAGCTGGAACTCGGGTTTGCCGTTTTTTTTTGACGAGCGCGTCCTGGATTTTGACGGTCCCGTTTTCGCGGGACGTCTGCAGCGGGAGCCCGCGTCAAATTTCAGATTCGGTCTCGTCATTTTTATGATGGCCCCCGTCAGGCCAACCCGAGTCTCCCGTACCCGATTATCACGTCTGCCCGACTTGCGTGTAAGCAGTGTTTGGGAAAATCGATGTATGATGATCTTTTCGTCTTTACATATGTACATTAACACTTGTATACACGAACACATCATAGCTATGTGTATGGTTGTAAACGCATCACGAATGGATTCGTCTACACAAATATAGATAGATGTATGTATGTGCATATATATATACATGTGTAAATATATGCTAGCCCCCCCAGGGACCCCATCTGAAGAAAGAAAAGTAAAGGAAATTGCGGGAAAGAGAGAGAGAGAATAAAAAAGAGAGAGAGAGAGAGAAAGACGGAGAGAGAAAGAGAGAAGGGACGAGCACGAGAGAGAGAGAGACACAGAGAGAGAGAGAACGAGCACGAGAAACAGAGAGAGAGAGAAGGATAACGACCCGAGGTAGATGTGTATATTGATGAGTGTATACGCCAGTTTGCACGTTGATGTTGGATGCGACCAAAAACAATAATGCTCATATTCGGAAGCCGAACAAACAGAGTGCACTCTCCCAAGGTGCATGTATGATCGCACTGGCAGCCCTCAGCATGGGCCGCCCGCGGCGCAACTCGCGCGCGTCGACAGCCCCAGGGCTGCCGAGTAGCTCCCCAAGTGCTGCAGCGCAGCACCTATCGCACGAGCTTCGAGATCATGTCCCCCGTGGCCTGCCACAAGTCCTGACCTCGCATCCAGTAGGCCCACTGGGCGGACCTCACCCGATGGCGCAGCATGTCGGACCCGACCGCGGCCGTCACGCCCTCCAAACACCCGCGCAGGTGCCGCCAAGCGCGGTCGATGATCTGCGCCCCAGCCTTCACGTAGAGGTCGCCCTTGTCAGGGATGCAATGCTTGACGACTTTGGTGATGCTGGGCTTGATCCACACAGCCTTGCCCTTGATCACAACGCGCTTCATCTGGTGAACCACGTTGTCGTGCAAGACGCCGTCCATCTTCAGCTTGTACGCTCTCGCCCCGTCCGCGCGAAGCAAGACCTTCCTGGACTTGAGGAACTTGGCGGCGATCGGCGCCCAGTCGCGCTTCCGCATGGCCCCAGGGCCAGGGGTGCGGCGAACCGTCTTCGACGGGTCTAGGCGACAGAACACCAGGGATGCCGGATCGCCGCGCTCCACGATGCCACCCCACTGCTCCCAGGAGACGTCTTTTTCGTGTCGATGCCATCTGGAATCACATTGCGGAGGTCGACCTTGTCGGCCTCTACGTCATGCCAGTGCCCATTCTGGCCGAACTTCATCCCCTTCTGCTTTTTCTCCACGAACTTCGACCGAGCCTCGTGCAGCCTTTTATATAAACCCTCCATGACCTTGCGGTTCCTGCCCGTCAGCAAGTGGCACGCGGACTGCTTGACCCCGGCCGTGGCGCAGAAAAGAACGGCAGCTTGGTTTTGAAGCGATGCGCCCGAGCGGCCACCGCGGAGGGCGAATATCGGGCGGCTGCGGTGCGGCGGCACCCATGCCCTGCACCCCGCGGCCCCGCACTTGCACGCCCACGCGCGGCCCCCTGGCCGCCGACGAAGAAAATGTTTTGTTCCATCGCCGCACACAGGGCAACTCTCGCCGTTCCAATCCCTCAGGATCTTCGTCTTGGCCAGGTGGTCAATCAGTTTCTCCTCACTCATCTGGAGCGATGCTTTTGGTGACGTGCACCACCTCTGGCGGTCGACGCGGCTCTTGGCGCTAGCCAACCCATGTCGGACGTACTTCACGTTCTTGGGCAACGCCTTCACCTGCTTGCAAATCGTCTTCCTGGCGGCAGGCCTGCGCAGCACAGCGGCAGCTGAGACGCGTGCCTTTCCCTTCTTCGGACCAGGGAAAACGCATCTCGGGCTGCG